TACATAAAATTGACCGAGAGATACGTGTCGATCGATGGGATACTGGTGATTCTTGATCCCTGTGAATAGTATCCTTGGGAAAAGGGGGATTATGGACCGACGCGCACGTGTCGTGATCTGATCGACGAGTATCTATTGACGTCGAAAATACGTGTCATCATCTTAGAGTATCTGGAAATATTCCATCACTTTTCATTGGACGCCACATCTCTTGCGCACCTCCATTTCTTTCCATCAGTTCTTTTGCACCGTCCTGGCTCTGGATCTCCACGCAGATTGAATACAAAACCACCACCCACCGCCCACAAGCAAGAGAGAGAGAGAGAGAGAAACTTTTAAGAACAATACAAACCCACTTCTACAAAGACCGGAAAAAGCAAAACCCATATTGAAAAACCAAAGAAGTCATTATAAGGGAGTGTTGGAGAAGAAGAAACCAGGGCTCATTACAGGGAGAGTGGTATGGAGTAAGGTCTGGAGGAAGATTTGTGGAACGGGGTAAGAGGAGATCAAGAGGCACTGGTACAGAGGCCAGCATGTACTTATATATCAGAGCTTGTCTCTCCAGCTCCTTGCATTTAGCAGGTGTGAAAGGAAATCCCAAAGTTGCCGCCATTCCTCCTGCAAAACACAAATCCACAAAAATCACAACTCCAGAAAACCCTTGACCTTTCATTCTCTGTCTCATAGTTATTCTCTAATCTGTCCTTGTCTTTTCCCCAAATCCACATTAATCAGTTTTCCTTAGCTTGAATTACCTTGGAATCTGAAGTCGTTTTTAGCTGTAGAAATATCAAAAGGCTGCAAAAGTCGTCCTTACACCAACTGCACCAGCAAGATCATCACGGGATAGATTGCCTACCACCTCGTTAGCTCCCCTAGTAGAGGTGAGACCACTACTATCACCACCTCCATGATCATCCGTAGTCTTAGTAGGTGATAATGACGGTGAGGATGAGGATGATGGACCCATCATCACCTTAGGAAAGAATAATGATTCAGTACGCTGCAGCTTCAAATCCAAACCCAATCAGAGTTGATGATGCCTCGTCTGAAACGCCAAAGCCACTGTTCTATTGCCTGCCGGTTAGCAAAATTTTCCAGCTACACAATTTAATTGAAATTCAAAAAATTATAATTTAAATATATAATTATTTATATATATTTAATTTAAATTTTCGGGGGCAGTTCCATTTTTCTGTTGGACAGACACAAAAAATTTGCATCAACCTACTTCGGTACCTGAAAAAATCGTACCTACGTACAAGTTCTGTTATTTATAAATTTTTAGAGTCATTTATAATTTTTAAAATTACCTTAAAATTAAACTTTAAAATTCCTAGGATCCATCTCAATTAATTTCAAAAGTTAAAAATGACCTCCAAAATATTGTAACGTAAACCATAAAAGCTATAATATAACTTAAAAAATTATATATATATATATATTTATTATAAACAAATTTAATTTTTTTTTTCTTAACCTACAAAATTTATAAAACCTGAAACTACAGCACCAAATTAGGTAGATGTATATGGTAATGAAACAAAATATATTTTGGTACCATACCGACATGTATTATATTGGTAAATGTTTTTATTACTGATGTAAATATTCTGTCACTGTTGTGGTATCAAAGAAAAGTGGTAAAAACATCAACATCAGTGATGAAAATACCTATAAATATGATAAATTATCTACAAAAGTGATAATTTTTTTGTACCTAAAAAATGGTAAAATTATCAATAATAGTAGTAAAAACACTTACAAAAATAATAAATTCTTTAAAATGACCTATAAAAATTATAAAAATATTTATTAAAATAATAAATTTTAAAGTAACGGTACCAAATTTTACCTGGCTAATAATCACTCACCACAAAAGAACAAAAGAACAAAAGAAATCCCAATTGATCACCATTATCACCCTTGCGGCCACACAAAAAGAAAAGCCGAAGACCAATTGATGATAACAACCACCACAATAAAAAAAAAAAAAAAAAGAGAGAGAATTACTTTCAGACTCTTGAAAATTTGACACTTAACTATTCAAATTTTTTGATATTTAAAATATTATATACAGATTCCCTGAGATTTATACTTACATAATAATTAAACCTCTTTCATTAATTTTTATTATTATATTCATTAGTAAATTATATTTACACTCCTTAAAATTTATAAGCGTACAATATTTAGATCTCTAAAGTTTAAAATATTATACTTAGATCATAAAAATTCTAATTAAGGATAGAATATCAAATATTTTAAATTCTATAATCAAAATTCATGTTCTATTGTATCACTTATTGAAATAAAATAAAAGATATAAATGTAATTTTTTTTAAAAAAAATCACAATTAGTATATAATTATATTATTTATTGAAATAAAATTAAGCAAAATATCAAACTGTAATAGATACAATATCTTTTATCTTTAATTGAGATAATTTAATAGTTTAATTTAGTCGTTCAAATGACCAAATTAAATTCTAATAGATAATATAATTATATACTAAAAAAATTAAATTTTTTATTTTAAATTTTATTTCAATAAATGTCATAATAGAGTATGAATTTTAGTTGTAAAATTTAAAATATTTAATATCCTATATTTGATTGGAATATTTTTAGTCTAAATATAATATTTTTAAACTTAAGGAGCCTAACTCTTATACGGTTATAAACGTCAACGGGTTTGAGTGTAATTTACTAACGAATATACTAACAGAAATTGACGGGAGGGATTTAAGTGTTATCCGAGTATAAACTTCAAGAGGTTTGTATATAATATTTTAAATGTTAAGAGATTTAAGTGATTAAGTGACAAATTTTAGAGAGTTTGAGTATAATTCTCTCTAAAAAAAACTAAGAGAGGGAGAGAGGGTATAGTTGAATAAACATAAGACCAACCCTTTGATTTGATGAAAAATAGGGTGGATAAAAATAAGGGAAAGGAAAGTGGATGAAAAAAAAAATAATTCACTGTTTGATTTGAAAGGAAAAGAGGTGGAAGAAGAAAATTGGAGTTAAACGCTATATGTCCTGCCCACCAATTCCCCTCCCCCACAACAGAAGTGGGCGAAAAGTTGGAGAAAAGCTGCGGACTAACTAATAATTTGTCTAATCTAACATATTTGCCCTTGATAAGACATTGCTTTAGTACCCACTTTCACTTATCACTATTGGTCTGATGTATTATCAAGTGATTAATGTCCCATCCATAGATGGTTATACCACTGTTTAGATGCCATAACTCTCATTCCAGTAGGTTGGTTATTATCAACAAGGAAAAAAACAAAAAAAAAACACGAAAAAGCCTAGTCGAACGAGTCAGACTATTCATTGCAAGAAACATTAGGTGCTCAATATATTATGAGTAAAACTATTAAGACTTAAAAATTTGATATAATTTATTGACCTAATAATATAATTTCATTGGAACCTAATAATATAATTTTATTGGAATTATTAAGTCAACAACAAGTTCCAAAAATTGATGGACCCCACAGTCAAATTGGAACGGTCAATAAATTAGGTCACATAGGTCCGTAAATTAGCTCACAATAATATTACTCATATATTGGAAGGGTAATAAGGGTAGAGATGTAATTTTTACATACATATTTTTCCTTTCTTTTCATTTTTTATTTAATATCAAACAATAGAAAATAAATCTCTCTTACTTTCTATCTGCCGTACCAAATAAAAAGGAGGAAAAATATATTTCTTTCCTTTGAGAAAGACAAATCGATTCCTCTTACTTTTTCATCATTCTTATTTTCTATCTTTTCTACCAAACATACCATAAAGAGTACAAAATCACTTGGGCGAAAATTTAGTCTCAAACTTTGATTAAATTACTGTCTTGTATTATGAAAATCGAATCTACTATTACAGACAACAAAAGACAATAATGTTTCATTTGGTATGACGGAAAAATAAAATGATGAAAAGTTAGAAAAATAAATAAAACATAATGTTTGGTAAGAAGAAAAATAAGAATGATGAAAAAGTGGATAGATGGATTTTCTTTCTAACTCACTAAAATCAAATCCTCCAAAATTAGAAGAAAAGTGGATAAAAAATTAATTATTTGTGTTAAAATATATCTTATTTGTCTATCCATCATTTGATATATATTATATCCATTAATTTCATATATAAACACAATAATAAAATATGTATTTATACTTTTTTAAAAAAAATTAAAATTAAAAATAATATTTTTACCATTTTACCGAGTACAAAAAAAAATTTATTTTAATTTTTCATCCATCCTGTTAAAAAAAAAAAGTGTATCATTCTTACTTTCTTTCTTAAAATGATAGAAAAAATATTTCTCATATTTTTTATCATTTCTATCGAATGGAGCATAAAAGAAAAAATGGGTCAGCCACTCCACTTTTCGTTGTGGACAGCTTTTTAATTTTGTTATTTTAAATTATTTATTAAATTTTTTAATCAATTAACAAAAATTTACGAGCATAAATCAACTTCAAACCAACAATTTTTAACGAAAACAATGTCGTATTTATCCTGATATGCCTTAAATTCTAATAATGTCTAGTTGGGTAGGATAGATCGAAGAATAAAATAATAAAAAAATAAGAGTTATACACTTTTTATATTTAAGGGGTTTAATATTTTTTTCTGTTTTGTATTTTGGTTAAAAAGGTGAAAAATAAGAATAATTAATTTTTTTTTGTATTTAGTATGATGAAAAAATAGAAGGATGAATAAATATATAAAATATATATTTTATCATTATATTTTTATATAAAATTAATGTATATATAATATATAATAATAAATTTATGTATATAATAAAGATTATAAAGATAAATAATATATATTTTTAACACATATAATTAAAAATTTCACCCAATTTTAAAAGAATAAATTTTAATAAATTAAAAAAAAAATAATCTATCTAATTTTTCATCCACTCTATTCCTTATCTACTCTTTCATTTTTCTATCTTTTAATTTTTTCGTTCCTTCTTTTCAATCATAGCTTTCTCCCTCAAGTAATCCTCTCGTTTCATTTCCTATCTCATTAACTTTTCTCTATCCATCCATTAAAATCCTAAGGTTTAAGTTTAATTAGGGTTTCTCCCCAAACCTAGAACTGAAACTCGGACCTAACAATGCAACAACCACAACCTCCCACCTTGAACTCTGCACCTCCATTTCCTTCAAACTCCATCACCACCGAGCAGATTCAAAAGGTTTGCCTTATATACAGATATGTGTGTATCTCTGTATCTACGTGTTTGTATTTGTTTGTACTTGTGCCTCCAGTTTTGTTCACATTTAGGTATTAATCGGTGACTTCTGACTAGAACTGGGTTGTGATGTGATGGGTACAGCAATAATTTTAATCTTCATTGCTAATGGATATGATTATCCTCTGAGATTGAATAGTAGAAAGTGTTGTGATTTCTCAATGTTTTGGTTTCTTTTGCTCGATGCAGTACTTGGATGAGAATAAACAGTTGATTATGGCGATTCTGGAAAACCAAAACCTTGGAAAACTCGCCGAGTGTGCCCAGTAAGTTTCCAATAGAACTAGTAGAATACTCTTCTATTTTATCATCTGTATATGAATTGTCAGCTTGTTGTGGCCATATCTTATGGAAAATTATGATGTGGTTAGTTCCTGATTAAGATAAGGTGTTGTATATAACAAATTACGCATGAGTGTTGAAGTTTTTTCGGTTGAGATTGTTTGAATTTAAGGGCTAATAAGATTTGAGAACATCTGCAGATGTCCGGAACTTCTGTGCCCAAAATACTGGTTTAAAAGTGCATTGTCTTACTAAAGCTTCATCAGAATAAGCTGATAACTGCATTGGGTGTGCAGCCCCTAACTTTATGCTTATTATTGATGACCTGATTGAGCACAAGTTTGAAAAGATCTTCTGATGGCTTTACCTGAGTTCACATGTCCCTAACAGGGTAAGTTCCAAATTAGAAGTATAGATCGAGGTGGATAAGGTAGCCACATTGGGGGGTATGAAATTATAAAGGGCTAAGGGATGTTCTCTTGCTTCTTAAGTTATTCATTTGTCCTTTAAATCGTCACTTCATTCTTTCTTGGTCACTTGGTATGAAATATTAATTGATTGCCCCAGCCTTCTGTGTTAATTTATATTTTATTTTCAAAGGATGTGCTAGATATTAGAATTTCAACTGAAGAATTGAAATCATGTTATATTGAGGGGTGAAGGAGGTATAGTTCTGTATATCTAAACTTAAAGTTCAATAGACTCATATTTTAAGAACCTTTTGTGATAAATTGGTCGTCTGTTTTTGACTTTCATATGTTTAGAGTTTTGGGTAGTTTCCCATTTACCAATACTTCATAGAAGCTGTTGTGCAAATTCTTGAGAAAATGTCTTGGTGAGAGGGCTCTTGCAAGAATATTTTCCTTTGGCAATTTTCATTTCAATGGAATTTTGTGTATTTGGGCGAATCTCTTTGTTAAATGGAGTTACTTCATTCCTTTTATCATTATAGCCTACTTTTGCTTGCCTCGTCAATACTTCTATCTTAAGGAGAAAGAGTTGGGGCACCCAATGATGATTCCAATAATATAGGTACCAAGCACTGCTTCAGAAGAATTTAATGTATTTAGCTGCAATTGCTGATGCCCAACCTCAAGGATCAACATTGCCGTCTCAGGTGGGCTAACAGTTGGAAGTGTCATTTCAAACCGTTTTGGAATTACAGATTCTTGCTCACATCCAAAAATGTTGCAGATGGCCCCGCAGTCTTTTTTGCAGCAAGGGAACTACATACAGCAAACTCAATCTGCAACACCTCAGCAACAGCAAGGTGTTCCTGTTTCAAAGTTGCCTTTCCAACTTAATGCCCTTCGACCTCAAGATCAACAACAGCAGCTACTCCACTTCCAGCAACAGCAGCAAATTCAAGCCCACATGAACCTGAGATCAAATGCCAACAATGGCATGCATCAGGCCATGCAACCTGGACTTGGCACATCAGGCAGTTTGGTGGATGCACGAGGAAGCAAACAAGATGGTTCAGAGGCTGGTTCTGGTGATGGCCTAGGAACATCTGCTTCTGAACGAGGCAGTAGGGATGCACAATCGTAAGTTTCACATGAAGCTGTTAAATGGTCAAGCTTGTTTCTTCATTTCTCCAATGGTTTATGGCCCCTTGCACTTCTTGAGTAATGGTATACCTCAATTATGTGGGAATGAATGAGCAAAAAACAAGCGGCATCTTTTTTCTCTTTAAGTTATCATAGAATGGTAGTATTAGTGTTGCAGTTTATGGTCCTTGTGACATTATGGTGTGTTTGCTTTAGTTACTTGTTTATGTGAAACCATTTAAACAAGTGCAACAATACAATCTTTCAAATTCTACTAGTACATTTTATAATGGCATGTTGGCTTGATCTTTTTTTTGGTCCGTGTTGGGTGACGTCAAGTTTCTTTAAGCCTCGTTCTTTAGCATAAAAGACGCTGAATGAAGATGCTGATCTCGGNCTGTTTTTGACTTTCATATGTTTAGAGTTTTGGGTAGTTTCCCATTTACCAATACTTCATAGAAGCTGTTGTGCAAATTCTTGAGAAAATGTCTTGGTGAGAGGGCTCTTGCAAGAATATTTTCCTTTGGCAATTTTCATTTCAATGGAATTTTGTGTATTTGGGCGAATCTCTTTGTTAAATGGAGTTACTTCATTCCTTTTATCATTATTGCCTACTTTTGCTTGCCTCGTCAATACTTCTATCTTAAGGAGAAAGAGTTGGGGCACCCAATGATGATTCCAATAATATAGGTACCAAGCACTGCTTCAGAAGAATTTAATGTATTTAGCTGCAATTGCTGATGCCCAACCTCAAGGATCAACATTGCCGTCTCAGGTGGGCTAACAGTTGGAAGTGTCATTTCAAACCGTTTTGGAATTACAGATTCTTGCTCACATCCAAAAATGTTGCAGATGGCCCCGCAGTCTTTTTTGCAGCAAGGGAACTACATACAGCAAACTCAATCTGCAACACCTCAGCAACAGCAAGGTGTTCCTGTTTCAAAGTTGCCTTTCCAACTTAATGCCCTTCGACCTCAAGATCAACAACAGCAGCTACTCCACTTCCAGCAACAGCAGCAAATTCAAGCCCACATGAACCTGAGATCAAATGCCAACAATGGCATGCATCAGGCCATGCAACCTGGACTTGGCACATCAGGCAGTTTGGTGGATGCACGAGGAAGCAAACAAGATGGTTCAGAGGCTGGTTCTGGTGATGGCCTAGGAACATCTGCTTCTGAACGAGGCAGTAGGGATGCACAATCGTAAGTTTCACATGAAGCTGTTAAATGGTCAAGCTTGTTTCTTCATTTCTCCAATGGTTTATGGCCCCTTGCACTTCTTGAGTAATGGTATACCTCAATTATGTGGGAATGAATGAGCAAAAAACAAGCGGCATCTTTTTTCTCTTTAAGTTATCATAGAATGGTAGTATTAGTGTTGCAGTTTATGGTCCTTGTGACATTATGCACACAAACGAAATCAATGAACAAATACACTTTGGTAAATTTGTTCACGTTGTTATCAATCTTTCAAATTCTACTAGTACATTTTATAATGGCATGTTGGCTTGATCTTTTTTTTGGTCCGTGTTGGGTGACGTCAAGGTNAACAAGTGCAACAATACAATCTTTCAAATTCTACTAGTACATTTTATAATGGCATGTTGGCTTGATCTTTTTTTTGGTCCGTGTTGGGTGACGTCAAGTTTCTTTAAGCCTCGTTCTTTAGCATAAAAGACGCTGAATGAAGATGCTGATCTCGGGACACCGATCACATTCTCAAAGAGTGGTCTTGGTTGCCTTCTTATGCCTACTTAAACCCCCCAATCACACTTAATTTGCCACCCTAACCCCTTAAACCAAGGGGGGACAGTTGGAAGTGGCATATAGGATGTAGCAAGCAGCAACGAGGTTTGCATCTCCTGGGCGTTTGAAAAACGAAAGATGAGCTGACAAAAAGTTCATGACATTGCGAGCCTGCAATATACCTGACAAAAAGTGCTTATTGGGAGCTCTACACTACAGCCCCTTGGGGTTGTTTGGTTTGAATATTGACGGAGGAATTGGAACTAAATTAGTCTAATTATCAGTAAATACCATAATTGCATCATGTTATAAGAGACGGTCATGATGCCATTGATATGCCATCTAACACCATAAATTTGACATATATGGGTGCAGTTGGACAGGACTGTCAAGGATGAGCTGAAAACAACCTTCACATGGCACAAGTGCACTTGGCGAAATCACTATTTCCTTCCAAATAATTCAGAACTAACACACAAGAGCAGCCGGATGCATAAATGCAACTGTACGCAACAGATAACTGCAAGAAATTGGATGTATTGTTTAGTCTGCCAAAATACCCACACGAATGAACAGTTTTTCCAATAAAGTGAAACAATAGAAATTGGTCAAAAGTTCCAATAAGAGATTTCTGTAACACGCAAAAGACTACGGAGATTTAAATTTTGAAGGAAAATTGTCCCCTGAATTGTTGTCATCATCCCAATTCGACTGGTCTGCACTTTAGTGCACAAATATTTTGGTAAAACGGTTCAAAATGTGTCCTGCCAAAACCAAAAGATGAAAGATTATTAGGGCAATTGAAGAGCAAAAAAATAAAAATAAATAATCAACCCATAATAAATCAAGAAAAAGAAACTATTAAGCAATAATCTGATCCACTGAGTTAAAAATTTAGCCCTCTACAGGCCTTATTTTCTAAGTTTGGAACATCCCTGTACTAAGAAAATGAGATTTGCATGGAATATAGACCCAGACAGATACTGCTTTTAGACTATTTATTTTCTTCATGTCTTCCTGATATATGATGTTCAGGTTCACCACTCCCTCAGGATACTAGGATGAGAAGCATGTCTTTGGCGACATTTTCCACTATAATTCTAACAAACTTTTAGAACATAACTCCTATTCTACCTGTAAATGTAGATCAGCAATCCTAAAAAGCTGTGCAAGACAGCTTGTTATCTCCATGTTTGACCCAATTTAGCAGCTAAAGCACATCGAGTATATGCTTATCTCAGTGCCGAGTAATTCCAAATACCCTATTTCATAATGAGTATGTGAAATGTAAATGCAATGATAAGATCAAAGCAAACGGGTGTACAAATTCATAATTGAAGTCGCAAAGAGTAAGGTATGGACATAGCATCTCAGAAAAAATATAAGCCTTTACAAGGTGGTTCGTTATATATTGAGTACAGGAAATTCACATTTTTCAGTCAATATTTGGAGAGCAAAGCACAAAACTGGACAATTATCTGCTCCAGTCAGACATAGTAAAGTATGCATACAAATTTTCTGAGTAAGAAACAGAAGCAGAAAGCTGCTTGACATGCATGTCTTGAAAACAAATCAACTTCTGCAATACAATTAGTGAGACTTACTATCTTCTAGAACTCGATCCTGCCCCCATTGTCCTGTCACAAGAACAATTGAGCTCAAGCTTCTATTGATTGCAGGTATATTAACATTACACAAAGAAGAGACAGCAGCTCTTTTGAAGTTCTTAGATTGATACCTGCCCTGCTGCTTCCCAATAAAATTTGTGCTAGGTCGCCCATGAATTAAACCCTTGCTTTCAGAACTTCCAAAATTGGATCTGTCAGAATTCGGTCCATTTCCAACTGTCAAGGGTACAGATGAATGGCCAGGCCTGGGGCCAATCAGTTCCATATGATCTTTAGGTTTGCTCAAAATTTTTACAGTGGAAACACATCCACCAACATTAAATGAAACACCATTAAGATGCTGATTCTGTATTGCTGAGATCTGTGAAAGATTATCAGTAGCATTGGCAGGTCTGGGGGCCCCAGAGTTGGAATCAGTGGAAGGGGCCTTCTTCATTCGGTGAGACTGAGCCATAGGAGTGACAGCAACAGAAGGCAACAATGCTGAATAAGAAGTCACAGCAGCTGCAGCAGCAGCAACTTTAGCAACAGCTGTCGTAGCTGCAATGATTTCTTGTGCCCCTTCTCGCAGTTGAATATAATCCCCTTCAATCACAAATAACTGAAATAGCAAATTGAGATTATTTGGAAATACACATTCGCAGGAAAAACTAATAAAGTTTAGACATTTAATTGAAGGTGTGGACAAAACTAACTTCAGGATGACTGGTGACAAACTCATCAAGCTTTCCATACTTCTTCTTGTAATCATGCCAATGTAGAGGTGAAAGCATTTTGCCAAGCCTATTTGGAAGCTGGACAACCGAAATCATCCATTAAAGCAAATTTGGAAACGCTAAAAGACTACCCACCAATAACTATCTATACTAACCGTTGAACTAATCCTGATTCTACCACTGCAACCAGGTGGAATCGTGCGAACAATGCAAGCCAATAATGATCTTTCATCAAGAAGAGTAGTCTCAGCAGTCTTTCCCACTATAACTGCGTCATTCTGCCCAGTAGAGGAAATGGCTTCAGGCAGAATTGCACTAGTGACATTGTTTATTGTGGTTTCACCAATATTGACTGGACAAATTGGAGCTTCAGATGGTGATGTATTGGCAGAACTAGGTTGTTCTGTAGCTAAACCATGGGACTCTAGTTCATGATTAGAAGTGTTGTTCTCCTGTGCCAGTTAAAAATTTATGTATCAACTTCTATCCAACAATGCCTAGTAGCTGCTTTCAAGAATTTCCACATGAACCTTGCAGCACAAACCACTTAAGACAACGAGATCCACGACGACACCAAGCAAATAGGAAAAATGAACATAATATAACAGACCTTGGTCTCACTATTCTGTTCAAGAGAGCCCAATCTTAAAGCATCATGAAACTGGGAAGAAATCTGTTGGAAGCTCTGCTGGGGTTGGGGTACTGCCAGATAGCTGTTTTCAATGGACTCAATCACCTGGATACAGTTTTTGGCGGATAAAGACAACAAAGCATATGAAAAGAAAAACAGCAAACAAAGGATTATATGATGTTGAATTTTAGGTCACCCTACCTGTCCTTCATCATTAGATGATGGAATCACAGAATCAGTCTCCAGCCCTTGGCTGATAGCACCATTCACATAGTCTGAATGAAGAGCTTGCCCATTTGCGGGCACTTCATAGTCATAATTAGCATCTGATCTCAACAAGTTCTGTTCAATTTGGGAGGAATGATACTGGTTATAAATGGGCATCTGTGAACCCTCTGATACAGCCTGAAGAACATAAAGAGAAAGAGCAGTATCCAATTACTAAACTATCGCAAACATTGTAAACCATGAGAACCAGCAACAGATTTTTATCTGCTAATACCTGTTGGTTTGGCCAATGTTGAAGAGATGAAATTGCTGGTACCGAATGAAAATGTCCAACATGAGATTGAGGAACATGTGATGGTACAGAATGAGGAACCCCCTGCTGATGCATAACAAATGGATGCAGAGCAGTCACTGGTCCAGGTGGCAGATACGTAGGCATTCCCATAAGGGACGAAGGGGCGAGTGGAGCACCATGAACATTGTCGGTCTTAAGATATTAAAAAAGGAAATTCAAAAGGGTTACAACTACGGAAAATAGAAATTTTAAATTTTAAATCCACAGCTTAAGAGTATAATGCACCTATTGCCTCAATAACTTGAATATAAAAAAGTTTAGAAGTTACAGTCTACCTGTGTTGATGAATTCCCTGGGGAAGTGAAAGACGAAATGTTTTCTGCATTTCCATTTAGAAGGCCTCCGGGATTTCCATTCAGTGCCCCACTTCCACTAGCATCTTGTTGGCTTCCATTGTTCTGGGCAAACTGAGAAATTTCTTTTGAATTTGTTTGAGAATCTCTTGCATTGACCAATTCAAGTTGGAGCTGTTGAATTGTATGTAGGTGAAGCCTCTCCATCTCAACAAACTAACACAGATAACAAGTACAATTAATCTCCAGTGGAAACTAAGTGAATTCAGAACCAACAGAAAATCTAAAATTTTTAAACCGACTTGCAAGCCAAAAGAGAACACATTCCACAACACAGTCCAGATTTTATCAACTAACTTCATTTATAGGAAAAAATTAAAAAAAGGTGAATAATTAATTCAAGCACTTCAATCTACAGTCAACATTGTGGATAGCTAAACACCTGTCTTTGACAACCAAGCCAAAGCTGGTTATATTGTTCTGTACGCTCGCGCAATTCAGCTTGTAATGTGTGAGTAGTAGTTGATTGCAAGGCATCCATCTCTTGAACACGGTTAATCCAAGCTTGGGCCTCCCTTAATTGTTCATCTTTGAAAATAATATTTTCCTGAGCAACTCTATGCTGAAAAATAAAATCTAGAGTTAGGCAATATACTGCCAAACATATGCACAGAGATTAGTTCAAACAAATTAGCCAGGCCAGGCAATAAATTGCTAAAAATGAGAGACTTTTAGAAGGAAGAAATAGGGCCCCAAGACAAAATATATTGCATTTCATGGCAAAGTATTATATGACCAGAATCCAAGCATTACAAATTGACTATAAAAGCCATATAACGTTCCCAAACAATGCACATTCTTCTTCATATAAATTAATAAATACAAAACAGCATGAATACATATATGTACTTTAGAAGAGTTCAATGTATTAATTCCACCCAGTTGGGACTTGNCAATGCACATTCTTCTTCATATAAATTAATAAATACAAAACAGCATGAATACATATGTGTACTTTAGAAGAGTTCAATGTATTAATTCCACCCAGTTGGGACTTGGGAATGCACCAACGCACTGCAGACATGCAATTCAACAAACCTGTTCCTGCAACTCCATGAATTGCCTCTCCTTTTCTTGAATATGTTCCTGAAGATCGTGCATCTGTTTAAGATGCTGGGCTCTTTCAGCTTCCGAGTTGTCACGCTCTCTCCTGCAAAAACACAAATCCCATTCCACATTAATCACCAAAACTGCCAAAAACCCTAAGCAATGGAGCTACAGCTAGTCAAGGTCTTCATGAGACAGGGAAAGGGAAAGGGTCCAACAGGCACAAAAAGGCCAGTGAATATAAAAGGAACAAATCCAACTTAAGCAAAAAAAGGTCTAAAATGTTAGCACATGCTAGATTCAAATATGTGTAACCACGAGCAAAACTGTTTATAATGTATCAGCATCCACAGTAAAACAACTTTATATATATAGTTCTCATAAAGACACTAACACATACCGAAAGGTTGCCAGTTCTTTGTTCTGTTCTCTGAGAAGATCCTCTTTAGCCCATGCCTGCAAAATATGTAAGAAAGAAGTATATAATCAAGCAAGAATCATAACCCATAAATAACAAAATCCTATAAACTAACAAATCAATTAAAATATTAAATATGCCCAGACGAACCGCTTCATTGGCTAATCTAATTGCATTCAGCTCTCTTTCTTTTTCTTCAATCTTCCTTTCCAATTCTTTTAGAGTGTTTTCCCTTTCATGAAGATGCTCCTTCACGACCAAGTAAAACCCAAATATGAAAAATAATACCAACACATATACATGCATAAAGACATGTATATTCATACATTTATTTCAGAACCTGCATACCTGAAGCTTGACATTGGCATCTGCATGCTCTTTGATCTGAGCATCGTAGGTATTCTGCATCTCCATAATCTGTAATCTCGCAATGAGCCGAGCTTTCAGCTCAATCTCCATGTGTAGCAACTCCTCCCTCTGTCTCATCACACTGTGAAGTCTTTGCTCCAATACATCATTGTCCAAGCTTCCGTCAGTTGGTATCGAACTGAAATCGATACCAATCGGTTCCCTTCCTTGATGCACCTTGACAAAACACCAAATCACGTTCATTGTCAGTAATATATCTAATAAAAAACTACTAGAAAAACATTATAAAAAAAAAAAAGAACCTTAACTCATAAAGAACATATTGCGTACCTCATATATCAGTCGCTCATCCGCTGGCCCTAGCTGTTTTTGCTCAAATCAAGAAAAAATATTCAAAAAACCAACTAAAATTGTAAAACTTAACTTTACGATTGCAGTTAAAGCAATGTTACTAGGTTTTTAAGTAAACTAGTACCTCGTTGCCGGAATTTCGAATCGATTGTTCGGAAACAACCCGCCACTCTTTACGGGAAGCTTGAGATGAGGTCATCGGCAGAGATACGCCACGTGCAGCGGCGGAAACACCACCGGCCGCGGCTTCCATTGAATGACGAGTACAGACACTGCTCCAATTTCTCTCTTTCCTTCCCAGCAGAAACCCTAATTGTTTTTTTTTTTTAANCCTTCCCAGCAGAAACCCTAATTGTTTTTTTTTTTTAAATATGAGAAACCCTAATTGTTTAAAACCCTAAAAAGAAAAAAAAAACCTAGAGTGAAGGCAGTTACATAGTAAAAAAAGGCTTGAATCGAACAAAATTGAAGAAGAAAACCAATAGAATGAGGGACATTCGAATGTGTTACCTCTCAATGACGTTGTGGATTTGGGGTCTCTGTGGAATTGGAGTGTGAGGTTTGGGGATTGAAGGGTTTTAAAGAGTAAAAACGACGATCGTTGACGAGATAGGATCGATCCTAGCAAGAGAGAGTGATGATTGGGTGCGCAAAAATTCGATGGGAATAAAGACTCCGGCGCTTTATATGGCAATTCCAGGAGGAGATATCACACACATACGGGCTTTCATGGGGCGTTTATCAACCGGGGTCCCACAGCAAATATAAATCTGATGGGCCGTGTTACTGGCATTACCATGGACCGGCTTTCGTTCTCAACTGGACTTGGGCCTGATTAGCAACATTTAGATGGGGTTTTTAAAATTCAATGGACTTGTTTTGTGAGCCGGCTAAGTCAACTGGTAGTTTCGTTTGGTTTTGAATACATGCGCATGCATTGTTGTGTCACAGGCGCACAACATTAGCTTTCTTAGACAAGAATAATCGCGTCGGGGGTTCCCTTCTTCCAGCGTTCTCTATTTGAGCCTAATCCAATAAAATTTTGGGTTGGCCCACGGGTTCTATTATTTGATTTGAAGTTCGATAAGTTTAACAGTTGACCAGTCTAAGTCCGAGCTCAATATCTTTTGAACAAAAATTTGAGCTTTCCCTCAAATCCATTACTCGGCTTATAAGCTCGCTTGCAAAAATCTATTAAAACTCAGCCCAAGAATCCCTAATTTTTCCACTCAATTGTTTGAAAAAAAAAATTAACTATTGAAACTTTAAAAGTTTGATAGTAATATAGGACTCTACATTATTTAAGTAAAATTATTAATTATTTATTTTCTATCTATTTTGACTCTATCTTTAATTCAAAAATATAATTTATAAAAATATTAAGTTAGAAACTTTTTAAATGAAAATTGTATATATATATAAACAGGCTAAGAGCAAAAAAAATAAAAAATAAAAAGCCCGCTCAATAAATGGTGGATTAGACTGCTGGTAGCTTACTCCTACTTGAAACCCGGTTCACCACGCCCAAGTAAGGGCTTGGGCCTACCATGAGTTTTAGGGATGTACATTGAGCCTTAAAACATTGAACTTCTTATTCTCTTAACAAATAGTATTAGAGTCGAAAGCCGACGATTCTAGGTGAACTCTCGAAAAAATAATATAGCGTGTCAGTACTAATGTTGCCTCTTAAGAAAAGTGATGAACTCTTGGTATTGAAGTCATGGAAGTGCATTTTGACAAAAATAAATAAATTTAGGTTTTAGGCGCAAGAAAGAGCTGTAATATGTTTACTCGTAAAGAGCGATAAAAAACTTGATTCTTGAAAAAACAATCTCTTGTAAAAAGTGGTTAGACGCAATATTTATAGAGAGTGATGGGTCAAACTCAAGGGGAAGTTAAACTCGATATAATTCACACATACAAGGAAGATTGTTAGGTATTACATGTGTGCAGGGGTAGAGCCAGATAGTCATGTCAGGGTGTGCACAAATATTTCAACAAACTAATTTTTTTTTTACAATCAATAGAAATAGGACAATAATTTATATTTAATTATATCTTATTTAATACTTAAAAATTTATTAAACCTAACATACCAAAATTTGGTAAGCTTAGTATATACAAATGACACCAATTTTTTTTTTTTTTTTACAAAATATAGGTTAATTAAAATCATTTAGAATTGACTTCGGTGAATTTTCATACTTTGAAACCGTTGCATAACAACTTTATTATTTTTATATACACCATCATTTTATCACTTTGGTCTTTATATACATAACATGTCCAAAATGTGTTAAAAAAATTCATATTTATTTGATATAAGTGTACATTAATTGATGTGCCAAAAAAATTGGGTGGGCATAATTAAAAATATTAAAGAAATACTTGAAATACATATAGGTAATGTTAAGAAAAGAAATTTGAGGGTGGACATGTGCCCCCCCGGGCATATGTTGACTCCGGTCATGCTCTCTACTAAACCCATCAACTGTGCAAGGAACGAAAAAAAAAAAACCTAAGAAACCGAGGAAGGAGTTTTACTCTGTTTCTTCTGGTTGGGCAACTAAAAGTGAGTGAGACAGAGATGAAAAAAAAAAATAACTAATAAGATAGATATTACTAATGTCTGTCAAGTGGGTTAAAAACTTTGTTTTTTAATGGTGGGTCAAAAATTTTATTTTTTTAATAGGTATGGATGAATTGTGATAGGTCAAATATTTGATTTTTTAATAAGTTTTGGTAGATAGTGGTGGGTTCAAATTTTTTAATTTTAAATGGGCTTAATTTTTTTAATTCTTTTGAGTAAATAATGTAGGCCTAATATTTTTATCTTATATTTTGGGGGCACAAATAATATATTAACAAATAAATTTTATTTTTTTTTAGGGGGGGGGGGGCATATGCCTACCCTGACCCTAGCCTCCCTCCACCCGCATGTGTGGAGAATCCCACATCGGAGAACAAAAAAAAAGTTAAAAGTGTCATAATATATTATTGATGGGTTCACCACCTATTGACTTAAGCTTTTAATTAACTTTGGATTCCAGACATGTATATTGGACCTTAGATCATTGGACTCCCTATTCTACAAACACATCCTTACTTGAGATCCGATACGTCCCGACCCGATGATGGGGCACTATATAGAAACAGTGCTGAGAATTCTTCATTTACTCACATTATTAAAACAAATAACAAAAAAATTACATACATTAAAAAACAAGGTTCGGAGGGATAAAAAAAAAATAAAAAAAAAGGTTTATGTCAACACGGGGAAGTGTGTATGAACTTGTCCGGGCTTTAAATGAGCCAACCACTAACCTTTATTATGACTTTTAATCCATGCTTTACCTTGGACAGCTCAAAGTTCATTCGTTTGTCTCATGTATCTCACCCAACAACCAACTTTATCTCATTACATAACTAGGAACAATTCATATTCTTTGAGTGGATACTAATTTTTCTCTCATTTTTAGGTTCCAAACAATGCATCAAGGGCCTATTTGTTATGTTTTTTGGGAGGAGTTTGAATTACCTTATCTAAACTTAGTTTTCACCAAAGATGAGATTCAATATTCAATATTGTTCATACTCATATTTGGTATGCGCAAGGATATATGACTATTATGATAATATATTTGCATTTACATGATTATTGTGCTCCTTAACTAATTTAATTCAAACATGAGTATGAATATATGATGGGTATAAATGTCATTTAAATGTAAAACTCTCAAACCCACATATGAAACTCACTCCCATGGGTTTCATGAACAAGGGTTTCATGACCGGGCTAGATTTCAAACCCTAGGCTAAATCCATAATTACCAAATATGGGTTTAAGGGGATTTAGTCCCCAACCCATGTTCCAAACCCACCCCCCCCCCTCCCCAAACCCACATACCAAATAGCCCCAAAGGTATGACATAATATCATTCATTTTTCCTAAATAGTCTTTTACAATAACAAAAAAAAAAAAAAGAAGCAATATTAGAGAAATTAAAAAGTATAATCATGAATTAAACAAGGATTGTAGCAAAATAGCTAGTACAAACTATCAATCTTTAAAACACACAAAACTATGATCAAGGTGGTGTTCGATCAAATCTGTAACATCCTTCAATCCACTATAAGAAATTTGTCTTTTAGCCGTAAAAATTATTGTGGCTAAATGTATAAAAATTGTCACTATATATTTTAATGACAACTTTTTTATTGTCACTAGGGGGCTGCAATATGTGTGTGGCTAAATCATTTAGCTATGACATTTAATTGTTGCCACTAAAATTAAATTTTTTAGCCGCAATATGAAAAATGTCATTAAATATAAAATTTTTAACCGTAATAATTATAATAGTAAGTTAACGTGATTTTGTCACTAAAATGTACTGCATCACCACTAAAAGTCCCATTAAAATCTAATTTTTAGTTACAACAATTAATTACAACAAAAAATATACATTTTACCCACAATTAAAATCACTACTAAAATTTGAAAGATGCTTTTAGTGACAACTTATTGTTGTTCCTCTCGTTGGAGAAAATATTACATGCTTAGCAGTACCAAGCTGGCACCATTTATGTGATACTCCGCACCAATCAAAACTAGCCACATCAATAAAAAGTCAAATACTGTCATAAAAATGCCATATCAGCAAAGTGGACTGGATTATTTGACGGGGTTAACGGCTGAACAACTTCCGTTTTCTCTCTCCTCCTCCAACCATCTTCTCTCTCCCCTATATCCTGTCATTTCTTTCTGTTTTGCATTTTTTTAAAACTTTCTCATCTCTTAACTTTCAAATTTTGGATCAGAGCTTTTCACTCATCTAATGGTCTTTTAAAAAAAAAAGTCTTAAATAAGGGTGAATTTCAAAATATTTCTTAAACTCAATCAATTTTAAAAATATCAGTTAGCTTGACGTCATTAACTTAAAAATATCAGATCAATTGACGTTTTTAACCTAATTATAGAACCCAATATAATGCTTAAACACATCAGTTGGACTGACGTCTTTAGAAGAAGCGTCAGTCCAAACGACGCGTTTGTTTTAAAATCTGACCGCCTCAGACCAAGCCTACAAAATTCATATAACTTAAAAGGACTGCTGCCTCCATGCATAAATAAAAAAATTATATTAATATTTATCACAAATATTGACATCACGTTAACGAATGTTGCCTCCACATATGCCTATTTTAAATTATCATAAATGACTCCTATTATTTTCTCTCGAATTTTAATGTAGTCCCTAAAATTTTAATTTTTTTAATTTAATCCATCAATTATCAATTTTATTTCAATTAAATTATTGATAGTTGAGAGACTAAAATAAGACAAGTGAAAATTCATGGATTAACTTGAAATTGGAGATAAAATTCATGACTAACTATGAAATTTATCGTATTTTTTTATAAAATATTACAAAAGCATCAAATAAATATAATTTTTAATCAATTTATAATTAATTTTAATTTCTAAAAATGTTTTGCTCCCTCTCTTTTTGAGAGGATGATTTTTTTTTTTATTTAAAAATTTAATTACATTCAATAAATAAATTTTGATAATTTAAATATACTTATATTTTTTAGCATATAAAACTTAAAAAATTGAAAACGTATACATATAATTAATTTGTTTTATTATATAATTATAAATGCATACATAAAATAAAAATAAAATTTTATTTGTAATATTGATCATGTTGACATTAATGTTTATTAAGCTGTGAAAAAACATAAGTTATTCAAAACATGTATATGTTAAAAAAAGATGTCAACAACGTGATTGGTATTCAAAACAACATAATTGATTATCGAGTACACATAAACATGATAAGATAAAAGTGTCAGACGCATTATCATCCCAGTTAAAGAAACGTGAATAAACTTTCTGATTAATGTCAGTGGTAATATATATATCCTGAACTTTCTGATTTTTTTTTAGCTTAAAGACGTCAAATCAATTGATGCCTTTTGACTTAAAAACATCAAATCAATTGACGTTTTTAAAATGACTAGGGTTTAGAAAATATTTTGAAACCCACCTTATTTGGGACTTTTTTTTTTAAAAGTCTACGCAATGGGTTAAAAGCTCTTTGGATTACCCGCCTTTGGTTTTGAATTTTGAGTTTCTACTGTAAACAAGTGAGATACAACCACCAAATATTCTCACATCATTTTTTTTTCTCTCCTCCATCCACAATTTCTTTCAGCTTTTCTTCAATGAACTAGTTTTCCCCTTTTTACTAAGGGTGTTTTGCGGTTCATGCCTAAATCTATGTTTAGTTGTGCTTCAGTTGGTTCATTGTGGCCGGATATTTGAGCTGCTCTTAAGACTTCCAGTTAAAGCTTCAATGGCGTGAAGATGGAGTAGGAGGACAGATCTGTCCATAGTCTTTAAACTCATACTTGTCAAAAATCTCTTGGTTGTGAACATGTGGCATTGCCACTTGCATTTTAGTTAATTGAAAAAATTGGGTGTGTTTAAAGGTTCAATCTTGTTTTTATTTGGTTACCAAGTTATCCCATGTATTCTTGTTGGGAAAAATAAAATTTTACCACTCTTAAATCAAATTAAATTACACTGTGTTAAATGTGAATCTATTGAGGCAAAAGTGAATCTGCTCCGGTGTAAAGAAGGGGAAACTTAGATTGAACTTTGTTCACTACCTGTTCGATGAATTGTTTCTATCAAAGTGGTTATGTTTTGTGAACTCATTTAATTTTGTAAATGTCAAACTTTTGCCTTTGGAGTAAGTTTACAGGTTTTATTAAACTTCTAATTTTTTCGGTCCCATAGCATTACCAGCTTCGACCAAAAGAATCGTAAGTTTACAGGTTTTTCCAATTTTATAGAATTATATTTGGTTTGTTTAAGAAGGCTTCCCTTACCAACTGCGATCAAAAGAATTAGTGGGTTAAGTAGACTTCCTACAATTTACTTAAATAAAAAGAAAAATAACTAATTAAAAAAAACAAATAACTTTTATTTCCAACAAGATTACAAGGAATAAATTAGGAATTATAAGAACAACTAATAATACAAACAGAAGTCTGAACTATTAGAACCTTGAATTTGGACAAGTAAATCCAGTAAGTAACTTCAAAGAAATCATCTAAAATGTTAAATTACTATAGCTACAAGACCCAGCTGAAGTGGCTTTACAATTCCATAAAAAACTTGTTCTTATCTTTTACAATCCCCCATAAGGTGCAATCTTGTTCTTATCTTTTACCCCTTGGCCAACCAAATACTTATTGCACCGTTCAAATGCATCATGCATCATACCACATGTCCACTACACTAAGTCTGGGGAACGCAACTTCAACCTCAACAGCTCTGGTTGCTTTATTTTCTCGCCGATAGTTTTTCCGATCAGATCTGCTAGAACCAAAGCCCCAACATATAAGTTGGTATCAAACATAAAAAACTTATTGGAAGAATCTCGTGTGGGAGCTTGATCTTCAAAGAATACTTTGTGTAGCTCACTGTTGAATGAGAGGAGAGAGAAAAAGAAAGCAAACCGAAAGAAGGATGGTGCTGTAAGCCATAAAAATACAAAGGCTAAAAAATAAAGCAATGGTTACAAAGAGATCGAACACTCTGCGTGAAAAAGAACAGACCAATAATAATGTGACCATAGACTTCTGCCTCGTTCATGCCACTTTAAAGAGACAATATAGATCAATACCCGTACATTCAACTTTCCCTCTTGGAAAATATTCTTACCAGAAATAATGGTAAAAATGAAGATAGTTAATGAGTTTTGAGAGAGACAGAGAGAAATAGAAAATATGGCTTCCCAGAAAAAAATGGCAGGATGGAGGAAATAAGAAGCGAGATAATGGGCTGAGAGATGAGAGAGAGAGAGAGAGAGAGGTGTTTGAAAAGAATTAAGAAAATTCAGAGATGAAAGGTCAACAATGAATAGGGTGGATGGCTGAAATGATTAGATTGCAGTAGAGAGATATAATAGAGGAGGGAGAAAACGGAAAATGTTATTCCCGTTAACCACATCAACTATTTGGCTGAGTTGATATTTTTCTGACATTATCAGACATGTTATTAAGAGGCCTCTTCTAATTGGTGTTGAGTACCACGTACTGGTGCCAGCTTGATACCTGTTAAGCATGAAATATTTTCCCCTGTGTTGACTCAACGTGATGGTAATTGACATAACCTTTTTGTAAGTTTTGATATAATTCACCCAACAACAAATTTGATGTCTTGACATTAATAACAGTGGTCGAAAAGATATAAACCGGATGCATATGAATGTGAGTACTAATTTTCTTCATTTCTTGGTGGGCTTCAGATCAATACACTACAAATGCTTGGCGAGTGATCTGTATTTACTTTTCTACTTAGAGACTAAAGTCTTGAAGCTAACGTGAGATCCCTTCAATGGCCTACTGATTTAGATAAATATTTAATGTTATTTACAAAAATGATTGATAAATTTTTTTGACGACTCCAAATTCATTCGTCTTTCTCATAGATTACTCAACAACCAATTTTATGTTATCATGTAAAAATAAATAAATATACACAACCCTTTGTTAATACGTCATAAACGTAAAAAAAAATTCTTCCAAGTAGATTTCTCAACAAGTGCATTAATAGTGGGTAGTTTATGTATGCCATGCCCTCTACTGTCGCCCCTCCCCTGATAGCACGACATCCCTTTGCTATTCCTCATATGTCACCAACAAACTATTTTTTGTCTTCACATTAGACTTAATCAATCATAATTTTTTGATAGACAATGCGGCCCATTATAGATATAGATAAGATCCATAACCAATTCCAATGAAAGAGATCCCTTTGCTATTCCTCATATATCACCAACAAACTATTTTTTGTCTTCACATTAGACTTAATCAATCATAATTTTTTGATAGACAATGGGGCCCACTATAGATATAGATAAGATTCATAATCAATCCAATGAACGAAATAAATTAAGTGGTCACTAAATTGAATTCAAATATTATTATGTTTGACATTAGTAAAAGTATATTAAATTAAATATTATGTAACAAGATTTATTAAGCCCCGTCCGTGATTATGACAAATTAAGTGAGTAAATTAGACTCAAATAACATTATTTATCGGAGATTAAATAACAAGACAGATTNATTATGTTTGACATTAGTAAAAGTATATTAAATTAAATATTATGTAACAAGATTTATTAAGCCCCGTCCGTGATTACGACAAATTAAGTGAGTAAATTAGACTCAAATAATATTATTTATCGGAGATTAAGTAACAAGACAGATNACATTAGTAAAAGTATATTAAATTAAATATTATGTAACAAGATTTATTAAGCCCCGTCCGTGATTATGACAAATTAAGTGAGTAAATTAGACTCAAATAACATTATTTATCGGAGATTAAATAACAAGACAGATTACATTGGAATGTGGATACTAATAATTTTATTTTCATTGTTAGGTTCAGAAATACACCAAAAATCATGCATAATATATTAGTAATATATATGCGAAAGTGAAACACTTCTTTATCATTAATCTGTGCCTGTGACTGTGACTGTGCGTGTGGGTGTAATTCGTTTGCATGCTGAGAACTGAAACTTTGAATAGCCAAGTCGGCGGTGGACCCATCCATTGTCATGGGTTAATGCACCTTCCCCACCCCCAACCCCAACCCCAACCCAAAACTTGTATAAATATGCAGCGTTATGCGACTGGTATGGCCACACCCACAGCATCTCCTTCGTCTCTGACTTTNAATATATATGCGAAAGTGAAACACTTCTTTATCATTAATCTGTGCCTGTGACTGTGCCTGTGGGTGTAATTCGTTTGCATGCTGAGAACTGAAACTTTGAATAGCCAAGTCGGCGGTGGACCCATCCATTGTCATGAGTTAATGCACCTTCCCCACCCCCAACCCAAAACGTGTATAAATATGCAGCGTTATGCGACTGGTATGGCCACACCCACAGCATCTCCTTCGTCTCTGACTCTGCTTTTGTGTGATCAATCATCAATGGCTGCGAGCGGCAAAAAATCAGGTGAAATATTCCCCAGCGAGGAAGCTGTGGCGGAGGCTCTGGCTGAATACGTAGCTGAGCTATCGGCTAGGTTCCTCAAAGATAAACAATTTTTCACCGTCGTTCTCTCTGGAGGTACCCTGATCCACACTCTCAGGTAATGACAGTGTAACATGTTACCTATGGTTGGTGTAAAAGTGCACTAATGACATTAATGCAACATCATCAAAATGCTAGATTTTTTAGATTAATTAAAACATAATATACTTGTATTTATTTCGTAAACAGTAGTTTTCTCATTGGTGATCGTATGATGTTGAAAATTCAGGAAATTACTCGAGTCTCCTTACAGGGACGAGGTGAAATGGTCGCGCTGGAAAATCTTTTGGGTGGATGAGAGAGTAGTCTCTCTAAAGAGCCAGGACAGCAACTATAAACTTGCCTTTGACGAATTTTTATCCAAGGTATGCAGTACTGAAGAATCAATTTCTGATTTTTATCCTAATCTGAACGGAAGATAACTGGTTTGTTTTGTTTATGGCAGCAGAGTGCAGACAGAGCTGGATGACATATAAAAAAAATTCATTTACTTTGTGCTCATATGGATTAAACTGACAACTTCCTACTGAAAAAACACAAGGATTGAATGCTGAAATTGGGTTGGCTAAATCACCAATTTCAACTCTGTATCCATTTGGTTTTGCCTGTTTTGAAAAACGGAAAATGCTATTTGTATCTAAGTTGGAGATCTAATTCGGAGACCTAATCAATTTAAAAGTTAGTTCTATCAAATATTAGAATTCACAACTAACCTAATGACTACAATGAGTTAGGACTTCAAATTAAAAAAAAATCTCAAGTATTACTAAAAACTCTAATCAGATTAATGAGCTCCAAGAACTGAATCTGATATATATACTGACCTGGTGAGAATGAGATGTCTATGCATATTTCTCTACTATATATATGCAATTCTACTAGTGATTTTTATTCTATACCTTTCTTCATTCTCTTGAAGCTTCAGCCGTGTAAAAGTCATCTTTGTTTTGACAGGTACCCATTTCTCAGAGTAATATCTACCCCATGATGCCCAGAGACGGCAGTATTCCAACACCGGAAGAAGCAGCCGACCGTTATAATGGCATTCTCAAAGAACTGGTTGATTCCAAAATCCTGCCATTGTCGGCTACTGGGTATCCAAAATTTGATCTCATGCTACTGGGTACGGGCCCAAGTGGAACTGTGGGTTCTCTATTCCCCAATCGTCCTCAACCTAATACGGACAAGCCATGGGTTACCTTCCTCGATGACGCACCAGAAAAACCTCCAGGAAGAGTTACTTTGGTCTTTCCAGTAATCGACTCAGCTTCAGAGATTGCATTAGTGGTCACTGGGATCAAGTTTGCCCTTGTGGTGTATGTAGTGATGGGAGGCCATCGTCCTCCTGGCCTGCGAAAACTTCCAGTCGAAAGGATTCAATCTAAACAAAGGAGCGTCACCCGGTTTCTGGACCAGGATGCTGCTGCTTTTCTTCTGCCGAAGTAGCTCTGTGCGAGTTCATCCACAACACAAATCATCACATCTACGTCCCAGTGTGTTGGTATATTGTGTTGTTGGAATTGTGTGCTTATATATAACCATATGGTTTCTAAATAAAGGGACGTGTCCTTCGTCTAAATAAAAAGGCAGCCACCGTGTGCCCAAGGCTGCCACACTGTAACATGAAGAAGGACATGTCATTCCATGTATTATGTTATGTATTCCGATCCTGTACAATAATAATAATATGCTCTAGTTTGTTTGGAATAAATAGTTAAGATTCAAGCGCAACTGCTCGACCCATAGAAATTCTGTTTCTTACTATTCTGAGCTATCTCGGATGTGGTGAGTGAAATAAGCCTTTTCGCTGCCCCGTGGCAATACTCTGAGCTGTTGACTGCTTTCCTAATCATCATTTACTTCCATATATAGCAAACATGTACTAGTGAATCAAATAATAAAACAAGCAACATGATGGTGGTGAAGTCAACCTCCGAATTATAATTTAAAAATTGTCTTTATTCCGCTTCGGAAAAAATGGACCCAAAAACCAGTTTTCTTTATTTATCATTATCAATCCCATTATAGAAGCTCTATGTTATTTAAAAGTGTGACTTAGTGATATTTTGGATGATGGGATCGACAACACCTTAAACAAATGTTTGCTTTTCCAAAAAGAATATTGATCAATTGTAACTATGGATGTTATGAGGTGAATAATAATTTTTCTCTCATTTTTTAGGTTCAGAACAATGTCCCCCCAAATATCCGGCGTAATACTTATCGAAATAGTAATGATATTAGGCCCTAATTTATCGACCTAATTCACTATAACCCTTGAATTAACTGTAGGTCCCATTAAACATTAAAATTTGATGTTAATCTAATTGTTACATTAGAACCATATCATTAGGTCAATAAATTATGATTGATTTTTAAGTTTTTACAGCATAATATTATTCATTTTACGTTATAGTATTTTATAAAAATTTGGGTATATTAGCAAACTGAACATCTCAAATGAAAAATAAATTAAAAAATAGGAATACTAGAAAAATTAGAAAGAAAAAACACGAATTACATTAGGACCGCAGGAAAATAGCTAATACAAAATATCAAACTCTTTTTTTAACAAGAAAATATCACACTTTAAAGCATACAAAATTGTGATCTGGGTGGTGTTCGATCAAATCCGTATTGTCCTTAGAGAGTGACGTAGAGGACATGACGAACCTTTGTTGCGCCTCTCCTTGGCCCAGCATGATAGCAATTCACACAACCATTTGGTAAGTTTGATATAATTCACCCAACAACCAATTTAATGTCCTGACATTAATAACAGTGGTCGAAAAGGGACAACCAGAAGCATATCAATGTGGATACTAATATTTTTCTCTTCTTAGGGTAACACATACACTGATCAAGAGAAATTATATTTCCTATCATCCAACGATAATTATTACTAGATACACTGATCAGAGAAAATATGGGTCCACGGATGTATATAATGTCAATGTCCTTGTGTGCCCTAATCTATTAATGCTCATGTTGCTTCGGTCTGTCACTTTAAATCTGAAACAACTGGTTCTTGTATATATGTACAGAGGATTCTGAATACTACTCGAAATTCAAAAGACTGTGTGGAGGGGGCTATTGAACAACTGGAACGTCCATCCCATTTCATGGCCCCTGTATATGTTGTGTTGTTGGGTCACCTCACTTGTGTGTTTAAAATACGCCATCAAAATAAAGGGACATGTCCTTCAAATAAATACAGAGGCAGTTACAGCATCAAGTGATCCAAAACAAGTTAAAAAGCTATAAACATGTGAAACTTGGTATGGTGATGGAATATATCTTGATATAACTAGTCACTCAGGACAATCCGGATGAGAAGACCCAAGAGTGACCAACTCAATTTTTCAATTTTGACTCTTGCAAGAGAGTTTGGTATAATTGCAAACGGTATGCCATTTGCATAGCCACACCCACAAAACTTGCAACTCACAACATCTATGTCTCCCTGAAGTATGCACTTTCCTATCATTTTAGTCATTATTCTTTCAATTATTTTATTTTAGTTCTCATTCTTTCAGTTGTGTCATTCTAGTACTCTTTCAAAATTTTAATTTGTACTGCTTGAACCCAAGTGTAGAGTAATCCCGTCATGCGGCACGAATTTGATGGCAGGCACAATCCTTACTAGTTTGCACCAGTTGAGTATTATCATGCCTGTGTGAACAAACTAACTACCNTTTTATTTTAGTTCTCATTCTTTCAGTTGTGTCATTCTAGTACTCTTTCAAAATTTTAATTTGTACTGCTTGAACCCAAGTGTAGAGTAATCCCGTCATGCGGCACGGATTTGATGGCAGGCACAATCCTTACTAGTTTGCACCAGTTGAGTATTATCATGCCTGTGTGAACAAACTAACTACCCCCCACATTGCTTGTGTGAACAAACCAACCAGCTAAACGTGTATAAATATGCAGGGTATGGAATTTGCATGGACACGCCCACAAATCCATAGTAACTCACAGCATCTCCATCCTCTCTACTTGTGGAATCAATGGCTGATAAAAAGGATGTCCGAAAGTTTGATACCGAGGAATCTGTGGCGGTGGCTCTGGCGGATCACGTGGCTGGTCTATCAGAAAAGTTCATCAAAGAGAAAGGTTCTATCACAATCGTTCTCTCCGGAGGTACCCCGATCAACACACTTGGGTAACAATAGTACTGTAACATTCATGTTACCTATGGTTGGTATAAGAGTGTACGAATGACAAAGACAACATTAAAAAGCACTAAGATTTTGGGTTACTATATAATTAATAATATCCGTCTACTTATTTTGTAAATGCTCATTTGCTTATTTTGTGATAGTATGATGTTAATAATTCAGGAAGTACTCGAGGCTCCTTACAAACGTACTGTGGATTGGGTTAACTGGCTTGTCTTTTGGGTGGATGAGAGTGTAGGCCTTGTCACTGACCCCGATAACTACTTTAATCAGGCTAAAAAAGGTTTTCTATCCAAGGTACTATTTGAGACTTGACTTGTGGTTTGAAAACTTTCTGAATGTTTTTAATGATTTCCAAGAACTAAATCTCGAATTCGATATGTTGGCGAGACAGCCAAGTGGTTTTATANTTACTATTCTGAGCTATCTCGGATGTGGTGAGTGAAATAAGCCTTTTCGCTGCCCCGTGGCAATACTCTGAGCTGTTGACTGCTTTCCTAATCATCATTTACTTCCATATATAGCAAACATGTACTAGTGNTTTCGCTGCCCCGTGGCAATACTCTGAGCTGTTGACTGCTTTCCTAATCATCATTTACTTCCATATATAGCAAACATGTACTAGTGAATCAAATAATAAAACAAGCAACATGATGGTGGTGAAGTCAACCTCCGAATTATAATTTAAAAATTGTCTTTATTCCGCTTCGGAAAAAATGGACCCAAAAACCAGTTTTCTTTATTTATCATTATCAATCCCATTATAGAAGCTCTATGTTATTTAAAAGTGTGACTTAGTGATATTTTGGATGATGGGATCGACAACACCTTAAACAAATGTTTGCTTTTCCAAAAAGAATATTGATCAATTGTAACTATGGATGTTATGAGGTGAATAATAATTTTTCTCTCATTTTTTAGGTTCAGAACAATGTCCCCCCAAATATCCGGCGTAATACTTATCGAAATAGTAATGATATTAGGCCCTAATTTATCGACCTAATTCACTATAACCCTTGAATTAACTGTAGGTCCCATTAAACATTAAAATTTGATGTTAATCTAATTGTTACATTAGAACCATATCATTAGGTCAATAAATTATGATTGATTTTTAAGTTTTTACAGCATAATATTATTCATTTTACGTTATAGTATTTTATAAAAATTTGGGTATATTAGCAAACTGAACATCTCAAATGAAAAATAAATTAAAAAATAGGAATACTAGAAAAATTAGAAAGAAAAAACACGAATTACATTAGGACCGCAGGAAAATAGCTAATACAAAATATCAAACTCTTTTTTTAACAAGAAAATATCACACTTTAAAGCATACAAAATTGTGATCTGGGTGGTGTTCGATCAAATCCGTATTGTCCTTAGAGAGTGACGTAGAGGACATGACGAACCTTTGTTGCGCCTCTCCTTGGCCCAGCATGATAGCAATTCACACAACCATTTGGTAAGTTTGATATAATTCACCCAACAACCAATTTAATGTCCTGACATTAATAACAGTGGTCGAAAAGGGACAACCAGAAGCATATCAATGTGGATACTAATATTTTTCTCTTCTTAGGGTAACACATACACTGATCAAGAGAAATTATATTTCCTATCATCCAACGATAATTATTACTAGATACACTGATCAGAGAAAATATGGGTCCACGGATGTATATAATGTCAATGTCCTTGTGTGCCCTAATCTATTAATGCTCATGTTGCTTCGGTCTGTCACTTTAAATCTGAAACAACTGGTTCTTGTATATATGTACAGAGGATTCTGAATACTACTCGAAATTCAAAAGACTGTGTGGAGGGGGCTATTGAACAACTGGAACGTCCATCCCATTTCATGGCCCCTGTATATGTTGTGTTGTTGGGTCACCTCACTTGTGTGTTTAAAATACGCCATCAAAATAAAGGGACATGTCCTTCAAATAAATACAGAGGCAGTTACAGCATCAAGTGATCCAAAACAAGTTAAAAAGCTATAAACATGTGAAACTTGGTATGGTGATGGAATATATCTTGATATAACTAGTCACTCAGGACAATCCGGATGAGAAGACCCAAGAGTGACCAACTCAATTTTTCAATTTTGACTCTTGCAAGAGAGTTTGGTATAATTGCAAACGGTATGCCATTTGCATAGCCACACCCACAAAACTTGCAACTCACAACATCTATGTCTCCCTGAAGTATGCACTTTCCTATCATTTTAGTCATTATTCTTTCAATTATTTTATTTTAGTTCTCATTCTTTCAGTTGTGTCATTCTAGTACTCTTTCAAAATTTTAATTTGTACTGCTTGAACCCAAGTGTAGAGTAATCCCGTCATGCGGCACGGATTTGATGGCAGGCACAATCCTTACTAGTTTGCACCAGTTGAGTATTATCATGCCTGTGTGAACAAACTAACTACCCCCCACATTGCTTGTGTGAACAAACCAACCAGCTAAACGTGTATAAATATGCAGGGTATGGAATTTGCATGGACACGCCCACAAATCCATAGTAACTCACAGCATCTCCATCCTCTCTACTTGTGGAATCAATGGCTGATAAAAAGGATGTCCGAAAGTTTGATACCGAGGAATCTGTGGCGGTGGCTCTGGCGGATCACGTGGCTGGTCTATCAGAAAAGTTCATCAAAGAGAAAGGTTCTATCACAATCGTTCTCTCTGGAGGTACCCCGATCAACACACTTGGGTAACAATAGTACTGTAACATTCATGTTACCTATGGTTGGTATAAGAGTGTACGAATGACAAAGACAACATTAAAAAGCACTAAGATTTTGGGTTACTATATAATTAATAATATCCGTCTACTTATTTTGTAAATGCTCATTTGCTTATTTTGTGATAGTATGATGTTAATAATTCAGGAAGTACTCGAGGCTCCTTACAAACGTACTGTGGATTGGGTTAACTGGCTTGTCTTTTGGGTGGATGAGAGTGTAGGCCTTGTCACTGACCCCGATAACTACTTTAATCAGGCTAAAAAAGGTTTTCTATCCAAGGTACTATTTGAGACTTGACTTGTGGTTTGAAAACTTTCTGAATGTTTTTAATGATTTCCAAGAACTAAATCTCGAATTCGATATGTTGGCGAGACAGCCAAGTGGTTTTATTTTATACAATTCTTGATTCTCTTGAAGCTTCATCCATGTAAATTAAAGCCATTTCATTTTTATTTGCTTCGACAGGTACCGATTCCCGAAGACAATTTCTATCCCATGATGCCAATTGGAGGTACACCAACACCGGTGCAAGCAGCTGAGTATTATGATAGCCGCCTAAAAAATCTGGTACAAACCAAAATCTTGCCTAAATCAACTAATGGGTATCCGCAATTTGATCTCATGCTACTTGGTCTCGGCCCAAGCGGACTTGTGGCTTCTCTATTCCCAAATCGTGGTCAACTTAGTATGACCACACCATGGGTTACCTTTGCACAGACGCACCAACACCACCTGAATCAAGGACTACTTTTATCATTCCAACAATCAACTCATGTTCAGAGATTGCAATTGTGGCCACCGGGATCGACTTGGCCCTTCCTGTGTATATGGCGCTCACAACCTGACGTCCTCCCGGGGTTAAACTGCTGCCTGTTGAAAAAGTTTCACCTCAACAGAAGCTCACCTGGTTTCTAGACGAAAATGCATATTTTCATCTGTAGCTCTCTGCACGTGCATCCCTGTGCAAGTTTACTCTTGTATGGCGTCTTCGTTTTGTCGTCCCCGTCCCTATTCTGTTTTGTTGGCTCACTTGTGTGCTTTTAATTACTATATGCTATTAAAATAAAGGGATATGTCCTTCTGATAAATAAAATGGCAGCCACTATATGTGTACAAGACTTTCGATACTGTAAGATGGACATGCTCTGAATAAAGGTGGCGACAACGTTAAAAGATGATAAACGATCAAGTTTGATAAGTAATACCTACTCAGTTAGTGCAGCGAGTGATCCAAAACAAGTTAATAAGCTAGAAACTTGTGAAACCTGGTATGGTGATGGAAGATATTTCCATCAGGACGAAAGGCCTAATAATTATGAGCTCGACATAACTGGTCACTCAAAATTAGAGGTGACAATATTAACTCATTATCTATTAATTTGTCTAATCCGTCCATAAATAAATGGGTTGAGTACCTATATTAATTAAATACAAGTTCTAAATGGGTTGGGTATCTATATTAATTAAAATTAAGCGAGTTAATATGGATTATAAATGGGGATTCATTGGATTGAATATTTATTTTTTTAATAAATAACATAAGTAATAAAAATAAATAAATAAACTAATATATCCAAAAATACACACACTATTACACCACAAAATAAACACACATACACTAATACACCAAAATATGCACACACTAGTACACAAAAAACATACACACTAATACACCATTCATGACCCACGGGTCAACCCATGACCCATTATGTGTGTATCTTTTTTTTTTAAAAAAATATATGTTTTAATTTTTGTGTTAGTATATGAGTGTGTATTTTTGGTGTATTAGTGTATATATTTTTAATGTATTAATTGTGTGTGTTTGTATTTTAGTGTATTATTAACGTGTGTGTGTATTTTGGTGTACTAATGTATTTATTAAGAATTTTAATTATTTTATGGGTTAATCGGGTTAACCTAAACCCGTTATAAACTCAATCTATTATAACTCATTTATTAGGTGAGTGAAAAATAAAATTGATTTATTTTAGTCCAATGCAATTTAACTTAAATCATAATTAAGCCAACCCACCCATTTGTCACCCCCACTCACAACACTTCGGATAAGAAGACTCAAGAGTTACCAACGGAAGTTTCCAATTTTGACTCTTCCAAGAGAGTTTGGTATAACTGACCCGTGTTGTTTATGGGTGATTTGTATACTAAAAGTTTGCGTTGTAAATGCGAGGACCTACATATGAAACACGCGGACATGAAATATGGGTATGATATAATATGGATATGGTATACAATAAAATCTAAAAAAATAGAATACGGGTACGACTAAGATACGACTATAATGAAATATTTTTATTATTTTTATTATTTTCAACCAACTTAATAATTATATATTTTGGTAGTTCTTAAATATACAATAAAAAAAATTAATAATTTTTTTTTAGTTTCAAGAAAGTATATATCATATTGTTGTAATATGTATATTCACAAAGTGAAATGACTAATTAAAAGAATCAAAACTAATATTTACCTAGTATTTAGATATAATTTTTACTAAGATAATAATGTAATAACTTTATTTTATACTCTTTTGACATATAATTGTAGATAATAGTTAAAAAACACTCATGTGTCTTTGAAGTAATATGAATTTTTTGTTAATGTATAGTATGGTATATGAATTCGAAAAGAGATATTAAAAATTCAACTTAAAAATTATATATGTTGCTCGATCATAAAAGTATCTGTGAAGTATCATAATATTTAATTATTATCGAATACGATATTAGATATGAATACATCAATCTCAACGAAATATCCGTTCTTCCTAACACATGATTTGAAACAAGCTCAATGATTACCGTAGCCTTCGGCCTTTTGGGCTTTAGAGTGAAATGCCCAAGAAAGTGATACTTTTCTCGAGCCATTCGCAACGCTGCTGCTATTTCTTGTTGGACCGCATTGGACAGTGAAACAGGTCCATTCCCCTCGAAGTGAACCAAGGGAGGTTTTCCCTTCTTTGAGGTGGATTTTTTGTCCTCAATTATATTTTTCCTTAATTTCTATTTTTTAAAAACGTACACTTAATAATTGGTATCAGAGCTAACCATTACATCCAGTATGTGATTAAACGCAGTGTGAGATGCTATTCTCTGTGATCAAGTCATGAAAGGGACAATATATAAATTGTATTAAGATAACTTAGGTACTATGTATAGTGCTATGTTATTGAATATTGATAAGTAAGTGAAGCCATCAAAGGAAAAATGGCTACCGTTAAGTCATTGTCGATAGAGTGGACTGTCATGAATGTCAGTTACGAAAGCGTGGTGAAATATTAGAATCCCACATCAGTTAAAAATAAGACTAAATGTGTGTCTATATGAACTCTTAGATATCTTTTCCCTTAAAGAAACTCCAACCGAATTGTCAAATCTCTCTCTTTTTGGCATCCCTTCTTTCTCCCACAACTATGACAAATTTTGGCATCCCTTCCTCCTCCAACAGCTATGTTAAATACTGATTGTGTTGGCCAAATTTTGGCTTACTGTTAAATATCTCATCTCCCATGTGAAATCCTAGTATATCTCAACTTCTTCCTCATGCATCACATAAATTTAGCATATAACATTTAACATATCGATTTGCAGTATAAGGTGAAAATATCAAATATTATATGTCAAATTGCCACATAGATCTTAAAATTTATATTTAATATATAACATTTGACATATCCCTTGAAAATGCTCTTACAAACCGATTTTCAATGACAAATTATATCCATAAGATCATAACAATCATAACACGTTGGAATGCGATCTAGTAAACTTTAGTGACAAACCGTGACACAAATAAGGACAAACTGTAGTTGCAGTCCTTGAAGTATGCATTTTTTATCGTTTTAGTCCTTATTCTTACAATTGTGTTATTTTAGTTCTCGTTCTTTTATTTGTGTCACTCTAGTCTTTAAAATTTTAAGTTTGTATTTCTTTTGTCCAATCGACACCTATAATTTAATTAAACAACATATATAGTCATATGTACCTTACGTGACCATGTTTGAGAGAGTGAAGCGAGACGTCTTATAACCTTGAAAGACCAAAGTGACAGATTTAGAGACCAAAATGATCTATCAAGTGCGATAATGTGAGACACACTTGAATGTATATATATGTGACTTGATCTCAAGTGTGGTGTTATCCCGTTAACCCAAAAAAAGTGTGGTCGTATAACCTTGAACGCATGACCTCTTTCTAAGAAGAATACAAACTCATTTGTTTTTAAAAACATAACCATATTTTCATAAAAAAAATTCCCTAAAAAATGTAAAAATATGTCGGTTCCCGTCCCTTTGAGTCTCTCCATAAACTTCAGTTATAAGAGGATCAGTCACATTTCATTTACAGGAATGGAGTAAACTCGTCATTTTTGAATTAATCAATCATTTTATATTCAAGTGGGATCTATAATTTATAAACCAGTTTTGGATCAAGGCATGATGATAGGTGATTGATACAAAAATTAAATGAAAGTAGTTGGCATCATTAGAGAAGAGACAAATCCTCTGAAAACTGACAATAATTAATTTAAAATTCCAATATTTTACTAAAATATCATATAAAATTAAATATATTTGAAATTAAGCTTTGCAAGAATATATTGAAAAGGAGAGTGTCAACGCTGTGCCAACTGTTTAAAGAGTATCCAACAATTTGGGGGACGATCCAATTGGTGTGAACATGCCCGGGGTTCAAGTGTGCCAACCACCAATCTTGATGACTCTTCATCTGAATAGAGTAGGTCCAAAATGGGATGATAGTGGGCTCTGGGGCCCTTTTCTCAAACCTCATTGGCTCACATGCAATCACCTAATCATCTAACATTTGAGCAAGGCCATAATTTTTCTCATCAAGAACAAGCCACTGATCAATCATGTCTGCTAGGAAGTTCAGGGAAAAACATAACAAGATATTGTTGAAGACATGCACAACTTCATGCTTATCTGTCTAACCTCTTTCCCTACTCACACAAGCTCAATTTGATTCCCCTAAGCAACCCCCTCTTGGATCTCTCTCTCTCTCTCTCTCTCTATATATATATATATATATACCCAACAACCAATTCCATGCCTTCACGCTAATAACAATAATTGCAAAAGAACAGCCCAGAGACATCATTGTACTGTGGTTCTTAATTTTTTTCTTCTTTTTTGGGTTCAGAACAATACAACAAATATCCTTTATAATAAAATTCAGATTTCGTAATCATCTTTTACAACTGGGAGTATATCAGCAAACCCAGCAGGCAAAAGGAACAAAGTAACAAAACTTGGAAGAAAAATCACAAATTGACACGAGGAGAAGTAGCTAGCACGTACAATAAGTCAATCAAGCTTAATTAAAAGCACAAAAAATGGTGATTGTGGTGGTGGTGGTGGTGATGGTGGGACTTTTCTTTGTCAATCATGCCCTGAACGTAGCGAAATTCCTCCACTTGGCAAGGAATATTGATGGGGCCTTTCTGATCAAATCCGTACTCTTCCTCAGCTTCCTTCAACAACTGCATGAAGAGTGGGTGGTTGATGTAGATCAGAGGGATGATGAACCTCTGTAGCTCCTCCCCTTGACCCACCATGATTGCGAGACACCCCTTTGGTATATCTCTCAGCTTCTTCTTCCCATGATGATGTTGGTGGTGGTGGTGGTGGTGATGATGATGATGAAGATAGAAGTGTGGTACATGAAGATGGAAATTCAGATGATGTTTGTAATTGTCTCCACTACCCATCTCAAGAACACCCAAAAAAAAAACACCAAGAAAAACAAAGGAACCCTACCCTTTTCTTTTCTTGATATGAATTAAAGGTTACAAGAAGGAGAGAGAGAAAGGCCAAGGGTCAGAGGCGGAGATGGCCAGTGTAAAGAGGGTGAGAGAAGAATCTGTTAGAGATCTTGGAACGTTGCTCATGATAGAGGGTTTTCAGAGATAATTGGCATATGAAATTTGATGATGAGGGTGAGAAGCTTTGAGAGGTGGAGGTGGGTTTATATATCCTGTCTGTAGTTGAACGGTTACTGGGGTTTTCTTTTCTTTGTTTATACACAAAGGTATGTTCTAGAGACGGAACAGCTGAAACCGTCATAACAATAGTCGGTAATTGCCGTGTCTCAAGGGGTTAGTAATTTTAATTTCATTAATACTGTTAAGATATAATTTATCATCTGAAATGAGTCAAGGATTAGGGTTATTTCCTGGTCAGATGACCTGGCATGTATGATATTTATTCAAAGTTTTACCCAATTCTCAAATAGAACCCACTATTTAAAAATATCATATTCACAAATAGTAAATGTTATGTTATTAAATAAATTGAAAAAAAACAAATGAAAAGAATTGGATCTTTCTTACTTAGACTTCAAATGTTGACAATTATCCGTTTTGTGGAAAAATAAGTCAGGTGGGGCCTTAAAATTGGATTATATTATGGCGTTGAAAACTATTTGTTTGTATTGTATTTTTATTTTTTAATTATATAAAAATTATTTTTCTCATCTAATCATAATATATAAAGTGCCTATGTTTTAATCCAAAACGACGCCAATTTTATCACAAAACTATGATAACACTTTGATCTAGTATTTATGTGCGCCAATAGTGTGNTAATCCAAAACGACGCCAATTTTATCACAAAACTATGATAACACTTTGATCTAGTTTTTATGTGCGCCAATAGTGTGATTGTCCGCCTTGGGTACACACTTTTATTCGGTCCGCTTTATTAATGGAGAAAATATTAATCACGATGTTATATCAATATTATCATGTAGTATTAATAACCATTAATATATATAAATAAATAAATAATAAATTTCACATAAATTAATAATTATTTACTCTCATTTTATATAATTCAATAATTATTTAAGTGAGTTTAATTTTTTTATTTAATATTTTATTATTAATTAATAATATTATATAACAATGTTCACATATAATATGACGGCGCGTAGAATATTTACTACGGAAATGGATAATGAGTAACGAATGATGCGCCACGTATCCACAAAACGGCTAAATTTCATATTACCGTCAAATGAGGTGTCATTACACGTCAGCAACGAGGAGACACCCAATAACAAATCTCATACACACGTAGACATTGAGATTCATCACGTCGGCCCTACTTATTTATTTATTCCTCTCTCTCTCTCCGTCTTTTTTAATTTTTATATTAAAAAGAAAAAAAAAATCAATGATTACGGCTGCCTGTTACAAGTCAGAGACACCGCCGATCAGAAAAATCACTGGAGTAAAATACCACAACTGCCCTTAACTTTGAGTGCGCAACACGTACACAACATGAGTGCGCAATTCACGCTTCCCTGGGCCATCCCAGCCCGGACCCGATTCCTGCCGGGTTTCTCTTTCTTTTATGTACCACGACCCAACATGGATCCGTAAGTCACGCATGCCTGGGCCATCCCAGCCTGGACCCGATTCGTGCCGGATTTCGCTGCAGATAGACCCATCAAAAAAGTTAATTGAGCATCTTTGATAGGTAATTAATTACATTGCTTCTCAATCATGTTTGATCGAATTTAATAGGAGAGTTGGACCCGGATGCATTTCATCAAAAGCAAAGTTGGAGGAGGGAGTGCCTAGAATCATGCTCCGGTCAACGGTTTTGGTAATTGAATTGTACTCTAATCTATTTATAAACAACAGTTGCTGGAAAATCAAAATAACGAGAAATCATTCTTATAGTCCTCCAGTCTGGAATAGATTTATTTAGGGGTGCAATTGTTTAAGTGATAAGTTAAGTTAGGCTAGGTTAGGTTAGGTTAGATTAGACTGACCACAAATCAAATGTAAAATAAGACTGCAAAATATGATGCCGACAGCCAGGGCGATGGAAACTACGCCAAACAATTTAAAATTTTATTGGGGGTTGAAAAGGAGCTTCCAAATTTTATTAGATGAAATTTAAAATAGATTTTAAAATTTTATTCCAGAAATTAAGTTCAAAATTAAAATAAATTTAGTCAAATTGGAATTTCACTTAGTGAAAATTATAACGTAAAAGTTCACTATATATATTATTATCTGTGCAAAAAGGCACAATACACCAAATAAAAAAATCTTAAATAATTATCCAAATTCAAAGGGGATAGCCTAAAAATATTTATACAAATTCTTCTTTTAAAGAGGCTCAAAATATATCGACCATATCCTCCATAATAATGAAACTAACATAAAAAATATATAAAAACTCTCAAAAATAACATCATATATACAAATGCATTTGGGAAAAAAAAAGAAGAAGTAAATACTAGCATAACCTATTGAAATTTACAAGATTTAAGCAATAAAATAAATAAATAAAATCTTGCTTATTTTAAGACTCACAAATTTATCGTTTTTACTGCCACTCAATCTAATACCACAATATAATTATAAACTCAACTACCATAATTCCAATCCACCTATCCCCATGAAATAAATACCTCAAGCCAAAAAAAAAAATACTAACGTAACACATTAAATTCGCAATTTTTAAGTGATAAATAAAAAGGTTAATCTCATTTTGCACTTTGAAAGATACTTCGATTCTTAATTTGTGCCCTCAAACTTTAAAAATCTCAATTTGCATCCTCATTGTTATGAATTGACAGAAATGTTGACATTACCAAACTATCGTATAATTTTCTGTTATAAATTGAAGCGCATGAGTTGCAAGTACTTTGAGCATGAGGATGAGGTATGCCTTATCATTGCAGATCTTCGGCTGTAATTAATTTAACATCATTTTATGTATCAAAAATAAGATTTCATTAATCAAATAAAAACTAAGTATATCATATGCAACTCACATGAGATGTCAACACTATGTGAATTTATAAATAAATCCATAGTCGAAGCACTTGCAAGTCACGTGTTTCAATTTATGATGGAAAACTAAACGGTAGTCTAAGCAAGGTCCACATTGCAACTAATTCATAACATTTAAAGTGCAATATAAGATTTTTACTGTTTGAAGGTGAAAATTGAGAATCGAAGCATCTTTTAAGGTGCAAAGTGACAATAGCCTTAAATAAAATAAACTCAAATCTTGCTCATTTTATAAAACTTTTGAATTTATTATTACTATCACCATTCAACCCCAAAATGATATAATATAATTATAAATTTAATTACCCAGTGTCCAATACTTCACATATAAATATACGCACAAACAAACTCACTTACATTTTTTTTTTTTGGTTACCAACAAACCCTCCTAAACAATAACAACTTTTATTAGAAATACAATAATTCATGCTTTTAAGAGAAAAAAATATTTAATTAAGAAACAGGGGTAAAAATTATGGACATCCTTTGAGTTTTGACAATATTACACAGACGCTTTTTGACATTTTATAAATAACACGGAGATCTTCTGAGGTCTAAAATTTATTACATGGATACTCCTTATGTCTCCCTTTTCATAAATATTATTAAAAAAAATTAATAATTTCATCCCAATTTTTTTTATTATTTTTACAATTTTCCTATTCTAAATTTAGTACCAAAAAATTAATAAAATTTGATTTAGCACCCAAAAAATTTATTCAATAATTTTCAATATTAAGTTGATAACAATAAAAATTAATTTGATATTAATTTGGTAAAGTTGAATATAAATTGGACAAAATTAAATGTCAATTTTTGATAAAATTATATATTAATTTACAATCTAAGGTTCATTCGTGTTGAATATTATTTGGTATTTATAGTCAATGAACTATTTTTTATTTACATTAAATGTTCTTTAAAAATTAAGAAGTAAGTAGCAAAATACATACTGTTAGATATATAAAAAATTTTGAATTAATTTCATTGAATAAATAATTGTATAACATGCAATTTTATTTTTATGGAGTAAATAATAACAAAAATAACATAATAAAAACAAAAAAAAAATAATAGTATGAAAGAGAGAGACAAAGAGATAGTTATATGAGAAATATGAGTATTATAATTGTAAAATAAATAAAAATTTAATTAGGAACATCGAATCAAAACGATTAAACTGAAAAAAATTCAAGCCCATTAGCCTTTACCTCTCGATCTCTGCGGGCACACTTATCCCACATCGACGGAGAGTCGTCTCCTCCCCTCACATATAAGCCTTGACCCTTTATGGAGGTGGTACCTACTAGCCACTTGATCGTAGGGGATTTATCCGCGCGTTCAGAATGTCCTCCCCCACCGAAGGATTTTGGCTGACCTAACGTAAGCTTACATTTTGTGCCAATAGTCTTTACGTCTCGGTCTCTGCAGGCACGCTTGTCCCACATCGACGAAAAGTCATCTACCCCTCTCACTTATAAGCCTTGACACTATATAGAGGTGGAACTACCATCTCCATATAGTGTCAAGGCTGGAGACGACTCTCTGTCAATGTGGGACAAACGTGCCCGCTGAGATCGAGAGATAAAGGTTATTAGCAAAAAACGTAGGTTTACGTCAGGTCAGTCAAAATCCTTTGACGAAGAATATATATATATTCATTGCTGATCTGTTTAAAAGTTATAAGTGTAATGAGGCGAAGAAAGGAGGCGGTTCCGACTATTTTCCAATTTATGCTCAATAAACCAGTTTGTACCGTGCGCAAGCCTTTTAAGTTCCTTACGCATGAGTTGTGGAGTAAGATGAGCAAGTCTACCAATCGAAAAGATATTTTTGTTTATCGTAAAAGAAACATAATGTCCGATTAATTTCTAAAAATTGGTTACAAATGTCATGTTCGATAATAGAATTTTATGATTAATCACGAAAATCTTTAAAAGATCTTATTTGAAATTTAATCGTTGTATATTTTGTGATTGATCATAATTTTTTGAATTATAATTTAACCATTAATAATTATAATTTAGCCCTTAAAAGTTATATTTTTAATATGGTCCTTTTTTGATACTATAGTCATAGTCTTGCATGTTATTTGAAAAACAAATAAAGAATTTACATTTTAAGCTTGCGTTAATTTCAATTTACACCCTAAAAGATAGTTTAAATCTCAATTTACACACTCAAAGATCAAAAATTTTAATTTGCACCATCAAAGATAGAAATTTGTATCAATGTACACCCCCAAAGATAAAA